GCTGCATTCATCACTAAAAGACAGGAATCCATTTCCCACTGGGATTTATCCCTGTGCCTGGGCAGGGAATGCAGACACAGCGCTCTGGAAGGAAACTTCCCACCCAGAACTCCTGCTGGTTTCACATGGTTTGGGTTCAAAACCCCTGAGGATGGAGGGAACTGGGGAAAACAGGGATGGCAGAGTGGCTGGGGCTGCCCAGGAGCAGCAGGGAGCAGGTGAAGGTCAGGGGCCAGGCCTGAGGGACAATTCTGCCACCACAGAGACACCTGGCCAGGGCAGGATGGATGTGGGAGTCCAGAGCATCTCTCTGGCTGCCCTGGCAGGGGTCAGGAACCCCCTGGACAGAGCCCCCAGAGACACTGGCTGTGATCTCTGCCCATGGAAAAGAGTTTTCAATCTTACAGCATGAATTACTAGCTCTGAGGGTTTGATATAAGTGTTAATTAAGTGTGGCACAAAAGTAAAATTTTAAGATTCTAGATGAGGGGTCCAAAGAGGCACGTGGCATTTACAACCTTTAAACGAGAAGAGACAGACAGTTTGGATTCAAGAAACACCCCCTAAAATAAACAGGCAGAAAGGACATTTTCCAGGCACAGAAACCCCCACCTCAGAGTCTTTCTGCTCCAGAAGAGAAGCCAGGCAATAAATATTTGCAAAATGAATAATGATGAATGAATAATAAATGTCATTATTGTCCCTCAGCCGTGAGGATCTTGCTCTGGACCTGCTCCATCCCATCCAGCCTGGCCTTGGGCACTGCCAGGGATCCAGGGGCAGCCCCAGCTGCTCTGGGCACCTGTGCCAGGCCTGCCCACCCTCACAGGGATTTTTTATTTCCCCTAACATTTAACCTAAATTTTCCAAGGACTCCAGCTTGGCCCTGCCCTTCCCCAGCTGGGGCAGAGTTTGTGGCTGAGCAAATCCCAGACCTCTCTTGTGCATTTGGGGCTCCTTAATCCTCCCTGCCCTCAAGCAGCTCCAAAAATAGCCCTGATCTCCCTGGGGGCAGCCTCAACAGCAGGTGATGCCCTGGAGGGCTGCTTGGAGCCCGCAGGAATTGCTGGAATTTTGGCTGCTGGAGCACCTGGGATGCAGCAGAGCCTGGGAGGAGGTGGCAGGAGGGGACAGCAAGGAGGGGCTCCCCTGTGCCACCCGTCCTGCCAGAGTCCTGCCAAAATCGGGACAGAATCCTGCCAAAATTCTGCCAGAATCCTGCCAAAATTCTGCCAGAATCCTGCCATAATCCTGACAAAATCCTGAAACAAGCCTGACAAAATTCTGTCAGAATCCTGACAACATCCTGAAAAATCCTGCCAGAATCCTGCTAAATTATTCCAAAATCCTGCCAGAATCCTGCCAAAATCCTGAAACAATCCTGACAAAATCCTTCCAGAATCCTGCTAAAATTCTGCCAAAATCCTGCCAGAATCCTGCCAAAATCTGCCAAAATCCAGCCAAAATCTGCCCAGTTCCAGCTTTCCGTGGCGTGTGGGGTGTCCGTGGCTCAGTCCCAGCCAGGATTTTCCACCTCTTTACCAAAACCATCCCAGCTTTGCACAAGGAGCAGCAGGGAAATCCCAGCAGCTGGAATTCCCCCAACAAACAGCTGGAATTCTCCAAACAGCTGGAATTCCCCCAACAGCTGGAATTCCATCAACAGCTGGAGAGCTGCAAGTGCCTCTCCACCCTGCTTAGCCACAATTTGGGCATCAAAGAGCCTGATTCCATCAAATCCATCTTTTTTTTTTGTAAAAAATAAAAAATCATTTCTGCTTACACTTTCTTGGGGGAGGCTTCTTAAGCACAGAAAATTGAATTTTGGTTGAATTTTGGATTGACACGTTCATTTCGCTTTGCTTTGGGTGACAAAAGGAAAGTGGAAAATTGAATTTCCTCTTTGTTTCTCTGTCCTCTGCCGAGATGATTGTTCTCATTTCTCCCCCACCGCCTCCTTTGCTGTTTAAAACCCAAAAATCACAGAAGTTCTGCAGCTGAGGGAGGGTGGGAGGAAGTGGAGCAATCGGGACTTCTTTTTTTCTAGAAAATGACTTTTCAGAGCTGACCAATCCGCCAGATCTGCTGGGGGTGGAATTCCTTTCTGGCTCTACAATTTTATTTTTTCTGATGTTTCTTGCAAGGCTCCAAGCCCCAAAATCCAGCCTGGCCTTGGGCACTGCCAGGGATGGGACAGCCCCAGCTGCTCTGGGCACCTGTGCCAGGGCGTGCCCACCCTCACAGGGAGGATATAAAATATAAAATATAAAATATAAAATATAAAATATATAAAATGTAAAATATAAAATATTTTATATTGACTATTTAATATATCATATTATATATAATACACTATATCCTATATTGTATATTATATATTATATATTATATATTATATATTATATATTATATAATATATATTATATAGCTTATAAAATAAATATATAATGTAATATATATTAAATTATATTACATTATATTATATTATATTACATTACATTACATTACAATTATATATTACATTACATTATATTATATTACATTAAATTACAATATTATGTTTGTTATGTTGTTATGTTATGTTATGTTATGTTATGTTATGTTATGTTATGTTATGCTATGCTATGCTATGTTATGTTATGTTATGTTATGTTATGTTATGTTATGTTATGTTATGTTATTTATGTTATGTTATGTTATATTTCGTTTCCATGGAGACCAATCCAGAGCATCCGGGAATTCAGCATTCTCCTACAGCAATCCAAATGGTGGGAAATCACCAGCTTGGAATGGTTTCCTCCAATATTAGCTGGGATTTGTGCCTTTTGAATGGAAATAAATGTGAATTCAGCTCGTGCCTAGGGAAGGAAATGCTCCAGGAATGATTCTGGGGTTAAGGCATCAGGGAAAAGGACATGGCATCCAGAAGGGAAATAAGGGAGGCAGGGAAAGGGATACATCATCCAAAAGGGAATTATGGAAGGCAGGGAAAGGGATGCAAAATCCAGAAAGGAATTAAGGAAGGCAGGGAAAGGGACACAACACCCAGAAGGGAATTAAGAAATGCAAGGAAAGGGACACAAGACCCAGAATGGAATTAAGGGAGGCAGGGAAAGTACCTGCTGCTTATTTTAGAGCAGAATGTTAAAAGGATGCCGAGAGATGAAGGCTCATCCCAAAGGGATGTGGCTGTGCCTGGGGTGGCTCTTTGTGGGCACAGCCCCTCACTCCTCCTCCATCCTCCCAAAAAATCCATGCCCGGCATGGGCACCACAGGGAGGCATCCCACATGGATTGCCGGGGGCTGGCAGCCCTGCTGACAAAACGACTTTAAAAATTGCAGCAGCCACAAGAGAAGCCCCTGCTTCTTCCTCAGCCTCTGCAGGCTGCCAGGTAGCCCCAAATCCAGCCAGGTGTGGGGTTTTGAGGAACCTGTTTGCATCTGGGGACCACGGGGCCGCCAGAGCCTCGAGGAACGAACAGGACAGAAAACGAGAGCCAGGAGTGGATGTGTGGGTGGAAAAGGGTCCTTGGACTCCTGGAAGGATTCGAATGCCTCGTAAAACAGCCTCGCTCAGCCAGCAAGCACTGACACCGCGGCTAAACAACGCTGCTCCCAGGGGGCTTAAAGCTGCCATCATCCACGTTCATAGCTCGGACCATGAAAGGATGAAGAAAGGGTTCACAGCAGCGATGTGCTGCCATCATCTCCTCCCAGCCCTTCGCTCCCGAGCTGTAGGAACCTCAGGAGGATGTCTGGACACTGGCTGGGCTGGCTGGAGCTTGGGTGGGCTCCTGGCAAACGAGGCTTGACACTTCTCCAGTCCCAAAACCCAGGGCTGACCCCAGAGCTCTGCAAATCCACGTGCAAAGGCTGGGAGATGGAGGGAAATCCATCCTGGAGGAAAATCCATCCTGGAGGAAAATCCATCCATGCCTGCAGAGGTTGGGCAAGGCTCTGAGGGGGTGGGTGGCACACAAGGTGACTTTGGGAATGTCCACAGACACCAGGGATGAGCTTTTTAGTGCTCAGTGGCACTAAATGCAGGGGGTAACTCCACAGGGATCTGTGCAGCTTTTCAGGTTGTCCTGTGATAAAATTCCCAAATTCTCCTTTTCAGGCTGTCCTGTGATAAATGTCCCAAATTCTTTTCAGGCTGTCCTGTGATAAAATTCCCAAATTCCCCTTTTTGGGCTGTCCTGTGATAAAATTCCCAAATTCTCATTTTCAGGCTGTCCTGTGATAAAATTCCCAAATTCTCCTGGCAGTGCTGCCTGCAGCTCCTGCCAGAGCAGTGTGAAACCCCAGGGTGCTGCTGCCTGGAGCATCTTTATGGATTAGGGCTCTCCAGGATCTCCACTGGTTTTAATCGGGGCAATTAATTGTCTCATCATTAATTCAGTTGGAAATGTGTCATTTTGATTCTTCCCTCGTTTGGGGACCCATTTTTCCCCTGCCAAAGGCTGTTGAGAAGCTGCAGTGCTGTCACTGCCACCCTGCCCTGGGTCACCCGGGGGAGCAGCAGCGATGGGGAGGAGGAATTAAGGAGCTGCTCTCAGATTTATTTGGGTGAAGAACCAGCCCAGGGGACAGGACGGTGCCACAGCTGACTCCAGGTTCCTCTGCTGCCATCCTGTGAAGCCCTTGGGATGCTCAGCACCTTCTTCATCTCCCTTCACCCTCTTTTCTCCTCCTCCTTGGTTGGTTTGGTGCCTCCTCCTCCTGCAGCCCCACACCCCTGCCCTGCTGCTGCTCAGCTCCGTTCCAGCCCAGTCCAAGAGCCCATTCCAACTGGAGTTATGGGCACCAGGAACCCCTGCAGGGGCTCTGCCCCCTGCTCTGGCCCACTCTGTGATGGAATTGTTGCTTTTCCTGACTCCATCCATCCTCTCCTCCCGGTGCCACAGCCCCTCCCAAACTGCCCTGGTGTTCCTGTGCTCCCCCAGCCAGGTGCAGCCCCTCCCTCTGGGAGCTGGGATAAAGAAGAGTGGCAAGAGCAGCACGTTTCCATTCTTTATTCGTCGGAACAATTTGTTCTTTGACAGGAGCAGAGCTGTGACCCTCCCCAGGCCAGCTCCCTGTGTGCCCCCAGCTCCCTGCAGCTCTGCTTGGGTGCCAGCTGCAGCTCCAGCCCTTGGTGGGATTCCCAGGCAGGGCAGAGCTCAGCTCCCATTCCCCACACGCTCCCAGGACATCTCCACAGGGATGCTGGAGCATCCCTGCTGCCGGAGCTCAGGCTGGGCTTTGCTGAGCAATCCCTGGCCGTGCATTCCTCCCTGCCAGGGATTGCTCCCCACGGGATCACAGAGGGTTTAGGTTGGGAGGGACATTAGAGATCATTTCACTCATTAAAGATCATTTAACTCATTAAAGATCATTTAATTCCCACCTTGCCATGGCAGGGACACCTTCCGCTATCCCAGGTGGCTCCAAGCCCCATCCAACCTCATCATTCCAGGGATGAGGCAGCCACAGCTTTTCTGGGAAATCCATTCCAGGGCCTCACCACCCTCACAGGGAAGGATTCCTTCCTGATATTTTGGGACACGAGTGCTCAGTGCCAACACTGATCCATTTTGGCTCCGTTTGCCCTTTCCCTGCACCCCAAAGGAGGGAGGGAGCAGCAGCTGGGCACTGCCAGGGGCTGCTCCAGGGGTGGGTTTGGATTCCTCATGGATGACCAGGCTCATCCTGTGCCAGGACAGGCAGTGGCAGCAATCAGGGAGCCAGGGAGGTCTTGGAAGGGGAAGAGGAGCCCTGGTGAAGTGGCAGGAGAGCGGGAGCAGCAGGTGCTTGAGGAGCAGCACGAGGGAAGGTGGAATGAAGCTGCCAGGAGAAAACACAGGTGGAAAACTCCCAGCAGCTCCTGCTGGGGAGCACGGAGCCACCTCGCAGGGGACAGCAGGATGTCCCCGGGGTCAGGGCACTCAGAAATAGATCCAGCAGGGAATGGAACCCCTGGAACACCCTGGAGGGGCTCAGGCAGGTGGATTTTGGCCAGCTCTGCAAGGCAGGTCCCTGCTTTTGGGCTGGCAAAGGATTGAAGTTCATCCCTTCTCTCCCTGCTCCTGCTCTTGCACATCAGGGACTGGGGAGAAAGAGAACAGCCACAGCCCCATCCCTAAGCTGCAAACAACCCCAAGGACCGTGTTTCCAGTACAGAATAAGGGACTGGAGCCAGCCAGGATCTTCTGAGGAGCAGGTTTTTATTGGGAAATATCTCCCTTCAGCAGGTTTGGCCTAAACCTTGGCAGGGCTCTTCAGGGGGAAGGGAGAAATCCGGTTCTCCTAGGGCAGCTGGGAGCTGTGCCAGGGGATTCCAGGGCATCCTGAAAGCTGTGGAGAGCAGCAGGGCACCCGGGAGCCCCCAGGTGGGCAGCTCCATGGCCCTGCACAGAGAGCCGGGATAGAGGGGCACCGCTGAGCTCTGCAGCCTCTGTCCTCCCCAAAAATCTCTGCCCTGAAAGATCCACACTTCATCCTCCCCCCAGGGACACTTCTGCTCTCAGCTTTTCCTCTTCCCTCGTGTGCCCACCCCCTGCCCACAGAATCCTGGAATGGAAGGACCTTAGAGCTCAGCCAGCTCCACCCCTCGCCATGGGCAGGGTCACCTTCCACCATCCCAGGCTGCTCAGAGCTCCGTCCACCCATCCTTGGGCACTTCCAGGGGTGCCACATCCTTTTCAGATCTCACAGAACCACAGAGTGAGTTTGCTCAGAAGGAACCTTGACGACAACATCTGACTGACAAGTCAGCTGAAAAAACGGGAATTTAATTCAGAGCTGGAGAAAGGAACAAGTCCAGAATATGCCAGTGTTTTTGTTTTCACGGGCAGGGACACCTTCCACCATCCCAGGCTGCTCAGAGCTCCATCCACCCATCCTTGGGCACTTCCAGGGGTGCCACATCCTTTTCAGACCTCACAGAACCACGGGGTGAGTTTGCTTGGGAGGAACCCTGAAGACCCCACCAGTCCAACCCGCCCAGCACAGCAGGACACCTTCACCAGGAGCTCACTCCTGCTGTGGTGGGAGGTGTCCCTGTGTCCTGCCCCTCACACAGGCCTGGCTCTCTGTGGGGAGGGGGCTCCTTTAGCAGCTTCACATCAAGCAGCGAGATAATAAATAAATAAATAGGATTGCACGGGAGGGAAAGCTTCTGCAGCTGGAAGCCCGAGAGGGAAGGTCTGAGATGGGGCTCCCACAGTTCAGTACCAGCACGTCCTGCCCAGCTCTGGCAGCAGCTCAGTGACCTCTTGGCCACCACCTGCCAGTCCAGCATGTTTTTTATGGTTTTCAGCCAGTTTGTCCTGCTGTTTGCTGCCTGAGGCTGTAACTCCATCTCTTTCTCTGCTTAATTGGCTTCCCACCATCCAAAGTCAGGAGCTGAGCATGCTCCTTCCCACAGCTGCAGGAGGGGGATGGATGTTCTGTCATGTTCTGAGCCTCAGGTGGGAAATCCTGGCTCCCAAGGTGGCTGGTCCTGCTAAAATGTGATTTCCTCAAGGAGAAAGATTGCCAGGTCCCAGGCTTTCCAGTGGCTGAGGTCCAGGCAGGACAGTTGGAGATTTTTTTTGGAGCAAGGAGAGAACAAAGGCCCCATTCCTGTCCTGTGCCAATCCTTGTGCTCCTTTGTGACAGTCAGGGCCCCCCGTGCTCTCTAGAGGAGAAGAGGTAGACAGAGAAGACACCAGAAGGAGAAACAAGCACAGAATAAATCGAAGGAAGCTTCCATGCTCCCCTCTCTTGGTCTTGCACCAATTCCTGCTTCACCTGGATCCCCACCCAGCCCGTGGCCACCAGCACGTCCTGCTGGGCTCCTCAGCTGGCCCTGGGACCTGCCTGTGCCTCTTCCAAACCAGCTGGAGACCACACCTGGGCCTGGTGCTCCCTTTGGGAAAGGCTTTTCCATGGGGGGGAAAAATCCCTCAGCACCTTTGTCAGGGTTTGCACATCCCCTCCTCCAGTTCCTGCGGCTTCCTGGTGTCCTCCAAGGCTCTCCGAGCCTCTCCTGGTCCCTTGGTTGTCCTTGCCCAGCTTCTCCTGGAGGTGCTGCGTGGTGGGTGATGGGTTGGGCTGAGGACCTCTGCTTCCCACAGCATCCCCCGGCTCGGGGAGGCGAGGCCGTGCTCCCGCTCCATCTCTGCAGAGCCCTCACGAGCTCTGGTGGTGAGGAACGCAGGGTGGCTCCTTCAGCTCTCCACCATTCCTGGGCATCCGGGGATCTCTGGGGGAAAAAAGGAAAAACAGCATTAATTTAGCACAGCGAGGTTGGGAGAGAGGAGGGATTCGGAGGCCAAAGCCAGGAGAGGGATTAAACCTCTTTCCTTGATTGTGGAGATATGTAATGACTGACAAGTCAGATGAAAAAATGGGAAATTAATTCAGAGATAGAGAAAGGAACAAGTACAGAATATGCCAGTGTTTTTATTTTCTGGAAGTGATATTTTTTTAATAAGGACATGTAAAAGATTATCATCTGGGTGTGTAGGAGAAGAAAACAGCTTTAAAGCCAAAATGGATCTGCAGAGAGGGAAAAAAAAAAACCATATCTGTTCTTTGGGAACACAATGCCTCTCTCAGAAGAATTCTGGGTATCCAAACTGGAGTTGTACTTCTTGTGCAAATCAAGGATGAAGTTCCAACGTGACAGGGATGATTTGCACCAGTGTCCCTTGCCAGCATCTCTTTAAAAACATTATTTGTACTCCATCTGCCCTGTAAAGTGTGTTTATCCCTCCTTCCTTCCTTCCTTGCTCCCTGCTTCCCTTCCTCCTCCTCCCCACCCTGTTGGAGAAGAATTTCTTCCCAATATCCCACCTCAACCTCCTCTCTCTCGATTTGAAGCCATTCCCCCTTGTCCTGCCCCTACAATTCCTGAGGACAATGGGATATCTTGGGGTTGGTGAGCTCTTTAGAAATTCCCTGTGTGAAATAACCCCGGCTCTGCAACCCCAGCAATTTCCACGGGCAGCATTCCCCCAGGGACCAAGGAGCAGCAGCTTGTGCAGGGTGGACAACCCACCCAGACATGAAGGATGGATGGTGAAAGCCGTGGCTCTGTGTGCTGAGGAATGCTGAGCACCCTGGAGATGTTCCAGAACAAATCTAGAAACTCGGAGCGAAGCTCCTCTGCCCTTTTCCATCAGCTGGGAGCCCAAGGCCTCTCCTGCAGCAATTTGTGGGAGTCCAGAGCTTCCCTCTGGCTGCCCTGGGACCCTGGCAGGGGTCAGGAACCCCCTGGACAGAGCCCCCAGAGACACTGGCTGTGATCTCTGCCCATGGAAAAGAGTTTTCAATCTTACAGGATCAATTACCAGCTCTGAGTGTTTGATAT